CGCACGGGGTTTCTAGGGATCTCCCCGTGGTAAAGGCAAAAATATCCGAGGGTTTGGTTGCAAAGTTACCGATGGTAGGAATAGTGCGCATAGTAGTCATATTAACCTCTGAAAGCTCGGGGGCATTTCTGCAAAACATCCACACGCGCGGGCGCCCCTGGCCTTGGGCCGTACTGGGCCGCCGCGCCACGCGTGCAGCCGCGCCGCGCTGGGCTATCAGGCCAGAAGAAGTTGCTGCCGGCCCTTTTCTTTTTTCTAATGCATTTTCTAATTTAGTTTCTAAGGTAAACTTATAAATTCAATATAAAATTGTGTAGTTAATAAGAAATTAAGAAACCAATTTTGTTAAGTTTCTAAAATCATGATATATCTGCTAGCATATTTTGTTCGCATAGTTTTATAATATCTCTAGGAGTTATCTAATTAATTTAAGATGCTTAATATTGTAAGATATAAACTTGTAGGAATTGTTGTGATAAATTGGTGATAGTGTTGGCTCTGAAACTTTCACAGTAAATTCCTAACATTATTAGATGCCCACTGTAATTTTTGTAGCTCCATAATAATTAGTTTTCTAAGGTAGCTAAATGAGCCATAGTTCATATATATATAATCAATAAAATGCCAAAACACCTTGGGATTGTAGAACTAAAACACTTGTTGGGAAACAACGCCTTATTCAACAACATGGATATATAGCCTAGCACGTTAGAGCTATCTCGTTAGCTTGCGAGACGTAATCATATTTCTAAGAGTTTTGGTTGTCGTTGATTATTTACGTCTATGTATTGTATCCACATATATCATAATAGGAACAATGATGGATCATGAAGTCGGCTGAAGTACCGGAAAAGATGGTGTTTTGATGATCGTGTCGCCCGATGGAATGCTAATCCTTGGTTATATCTTGCCCAGGCAAGCCCCGATGCATAACCCCTATTATTCTATACTTTATTTTATGCTTGTGCATTAAGTTTTAGGAGTTGAATGAAACTCACTTGCATATATATATATATCCTTATCCTATGAGTCCTACTAGTATATTAGGATCATGTAGATTGCTATGCTATAGGACCCGGTAGAAGTCGAGTGATTACCTGTCACTCGTGAGAGAGATATGAAAGATATTATTGTTGTTATTACATTACTATCACATGCAATATATATGAATATTAATTGGAGACTGGGCGGAATGATATTTTGGATCTGGACTTGATTAGGCATTTGAGCGAGGCTCCAATTGCACTTGTTCCGCTTGTGTCGATTGAGGACCGTCCGATACTATGGATGGTAGTTAGGTCACAGACTTATTATCCTGAGCACATACTTGCTTATGGGAGCGGGAAGGCTCGTTACGCTCTTGTCGTGGGTTCTGGCTCTTTCTGGACCAACTGATTGGAGACGGGGAAAAGGTGGAGGTCTAAGCACCATATTGAGACCGGGTCTCAAGTGTGGGGGCTTGGAGTCCAAGTTTGGACGGGAACCTAGACCCCGTGACAGGAGTGGAATAGGTTGGTCTTGTTTGTATCTGGAGGTACAAACGGGGCGTGTGTTTCGGGGTACCCAGCTGTGATACATTGGTTCGTGAATCACCATTTTTGTGAGATGGTACGACTTGGCTATGGCCTAGCACCGTAGTAAGAACTGGAATATGAAAGATGGTAAAATGGTTCTGATTGCTTACCACCTGGTTTAAAGTAGCATATGTGCTTACATAGAATGGTTAGTTAATAAACTAATGATGACTGCTAATAAAATTGACTATAAGGACGCACGTTTAGTAGTACTTCCGCAGATGCAATAACCCACAAGCCAAATAAGCCTTGCATATCTTTGGAGTCTTTTGTTTTTCTCCTATTGGGTAAGTCTTGCTGAGTATAATCGAGTACTCATGATTTTATTTCCCCTATTGCAGGTGACCGGAGGATACATAGATCTGACTCTTGTATGTGGAAACCTCCTGGTGGGCTCAAAGAGAATTCCTTTCATGCTACGACCGTAGTGTTTATTTATAACCCTTACTAAAGGTTTTTATAAAAAAGATGTAAAATCTGCTAGCATCTCTTTATAAAAATATCCACTATGTTAATGCTCCATCATGTCATTAAATTAATCTTTGCTTCCTCTGTAACTCTAATAACATTGTTATATTATGCTGTTATAATCAATTGAGGTAATATTCTATTACTGTAATAAAGTGATGTAAGAAATGACTTAAGAATGTTGTAATCTGTATTCTCTCATTTATGATCTTGATGAAAAAATGTAGATTTTTGAGTTCTCCCTTAGGGTGTGCTCGACGGAACTGCGTAGTTTAGTGTCATCTCTTGAATACTTAGTGTCTAATGAAAGACAAGTACTCCTGTGAGAGCATTAGATTAGGCGGTTCTACCATACTTAGTCATGAATTTCTTTTAGTGGCGAGTAATCTTAACCATGGCAAATATTCATCTTTTGTGCTCTTTAGTTCAATGAATAATATAATGAACGTTAAATATCTGTTGAATGAAAATGTTTGGTACTCATGAGTATGTTGATTGATTGAATAATTGCAAAGTAATGGACCTGAAGACATGTTCTCCTAGAGGCCTAGACATGCATTTGAGTTTTGTGTAATGAAAGTTCCTTAGTTCATGTTTCTCTGCATAATTAATTGAATGTTTCCATTTTCTTATAAGGCCGCTAAATGAACTAGCTGCCACTTTGCACTACGCCACCATTGAATGGCTTACACCCCCCTTTATGTAAAACCTTTTTTAAATTGCAATTCTGAATTTGGATGTGTTCCATGGCATACATTCAATCACTTAACCAATGTCAAGAAGCTATTTTTTCCTTTGTTTACTTTGTAAACTCTAATATTGAACTATATATTCTTTTTGCTACATTTGACATCGATAAATAATCTGCATTGCAACTCTGAATATTTTTTATGTCAACTTAAATCTCTTAAATTCACGTGGGGTTGAAATGAAGATAGTTGGTTTCATTTTGTTGAATAGTGGCCTATGTAAGTAATACGAAAATGTGTATAATCATATTTTTGGATTAAAAATAAGGTAATGGTAGCAACATGTAATTCTTTAATATAGTAGCATGTGTAGGCAATAAACAAACAAACATATTGGCAATTGTGGATAATTTATCACTATATAAATGTGTGATTTTTTTTACCAATTAGTGTGCTAATTTCTATCCGATTGATAATTTGTATTTCTCAAATAATAAGATGCTCCCTCTATTCCAGATTATAAGATGTTTTGACTTTTCTATATGCATAGCTTTCGCCATGTATTTAGATATATACTATTGTTAGATGCATAGAAAAATTATTGTATATAGAATAGTCAAAACGTGGGTAGTAATATTTTTTTAGTTAATAGAACTATAATGGTGTATACTTTAAAAAACATAGGAGGGAGCCTTCTCTTTTAGCACACATATAGTAAATCTTAAATTTTGATAGGTAAAAGCGCTGGAACCCTCTAAAATAGTAAACTGCAGCATACGATCCATGATGATATTCGGCCTGTTCGCTGGTTGGTTTTTGAACTGATAAGTCCGGTTGGTGTTGGTTTGTTGTGAGAGAAAAACACATTGGTTGACTGGCTGATAAGCCCTGGTTGAAACCAACAAGTGAATAGGCTGATGATATCGAACATTCTTACAAGTTCTGTTCTGATAGTCCGGTTACTCTGGATGAGACTGACAACTCATCAATACTGAAACTCTGAAAGCAACGAACATGGCAACATGCATATTCACTGTTCGTCACCTCCGCTGCTCGTCATCCGTCATGCCTGGGTCAGTTCAGGAGATGAGCTCAAGTCTCGAACCCGATCGGGGCAACCCCCATTACTGCCAACGGAGACTCTAGTCGGGCGACTCCTGCCCTAGCGCCGCCACTGCCGCCCCCCTCGTCCACCACCGCTGGTCCTCCTCCCTTACCCTCCGGCATCTCATCGGGGGCTGAAGGGAGTTATGATCCATTGTTTTAATAAGTTTTTTTTTCCAGTAGATCAAATCATTAGAGTTAGTGTCTTTCTATGCCAATTTTTTTTTAGTATTGGAGTTTTATCTCCTTCTCTTCTCTTCGGCGACGGTGAAGGGTAAGGGTGGAATCGTCTTCTCCATTGAGGCTCCGTTGAAGATGAGGGCGACAACTTCGGCGTCAGCATCTTCATTGACATGACGACATGGAGACTTTTGTTTTCGGACGGGGGCATCAAGGCGGAGATGATGTCCCCGCCATGAAATAATGGTCCGGTTCGCTTGTCTTAAAATCCGGTTTGTTCGGCTTCTTTTTTCAGCCGTAACATTGTTTTTCTCTCACAACAATTCAGTCATAATAGTGTTTTGGCTTGTTTTTTCAGCCAAATTCAGCCAAGCGAACGGAGCCAATTTTCTTCGGTCTCTTCTCCGTTTTGTTGTGGTTAGATCTGACCACGATGAAGGACTAGGGAGAATAATTTTCATATCAGTCTTTCTCACTCTTCGGTGGCAGAAAGAAGGAAGACACCAAAAAGAAGAAGTTCCTCAATTCCGCCTATAGAAATATTGGCCATCGTTTGTTGGGCATTTATTCTTAGGCCATTTACCGAGTGTTTGTCTGTGCGGTTATCCATACTGCAAAGCATCCACCATGTTAAGTTTTGAGTTGTGCTATTCAAAGCGTGGGTAGTATTTTCAAATTCAGAGTATTTGTAAATGTTGATGTATCCAGCTATCATATAATATAACTCTTCTTTGGAAAAAAAAATTCTCGAACCCGATCGGTGCATTGCACATAGACGCGAAGTCAAACAAGCGGAACCCAGAGAAACCGCAGCACTTCTCGAACAGCATCGCGAAGTAATAATCAATTGCCCCTTGCCTTAACGACAATTGATTTATCAGCACGCCTATAACATCAGGAATTCAGAATGCTGCTACTGCCAAGCAGGAGTTGAGACACCGACATGGGTGGATACACTGCCTGCATTCGTGCAGGAGCTGAGTCTTCATTCGTGCAGATTCACGTTGACATGCAAAGCCTGCAGCTTGGTGTCGAGCACCTCGGAGCAGATCTTGCCCATGGTCCCGTAGAAGGCGGCGAGGTCGGAGAGCTGGTTGACGGTCATCTCCGCCATGAGCGCCCGCGCCGCCGCCTCGCGCACGCCGCTCACCTTGAGGCTGTTGAGGTACCCCGACGCGTTCCGCACCGTGGCGCCCATCTGCTTCAGCCGCTTCTCCTGCTGCACGCTCAGCGACGCCGTGTTCGACTGCACGCACGAACGTCCACACAGGTGTCAGCAGTGTTAGCAACGCGTACGGTTCGGACTTGGCTTTGCCTGGTGCGAGCGCAAGCGAATTTGAGTGATATTACCTCGAGGAACTCGGCGCCGGCTTCGAGGTCGCGCTGCTCCGCCGGGTTGGTGCGGCCGCCGGAGAGGTACATGTCCTTGGCGAGCGAGAAGCTGCGGGAGATGACCTTGCGCCGCCTCTCCATCTCCTTGCTCAGCTTCGGCAGCGCGGGGACGGGGGCGCCACGGGGCAAGTGCGGACCCGCCGCCGTCTTCTCCTGGTACGCGACCACGGCGCGGACGAACTCCTGGTACGCCCTGGCGCAGCCGGGGTAGTCGAACTCGTCGCCGGAGCCGCCGGGCTTGCGCATGCGCTCCGGGTGGAACTGGAGGCCCATGATGAACCTGCCCTCGCCGGGGCTGTACGTGTCCGGGTCGTAGAACGCCTCGACGAGCCCGTCGGGCGCGAACGCCATGGGCGCGAACCGCTGCGCCAGGCGCCGCACGCCCTGGTGGTGGTAGCTGTTCACCATCAGCTGCTGCTGCGCGCTGTCGTCGCCGCCGGCGAGGAGGTCGCCCGCGAACCACTCGTGCAGCGGCGTGCCCGGCAGCACGCGCACCGGGTGGCGGTGCCCGTCGTAGTCGCCGTAGTTGATGTGCTGGACGGCGGCGCCGGCGGGCCCGACCGCAAGCTCGTGCTCCACGTCCTGGTACAGCGAGCCGCCGCAGGCGACGTTGAGCACCTGCGAGCCGCGGCAGATGCCCAGGTAGGGGATGTTGCGCTCGAGGCAGCGGCGCGCGAGGCGGAGCTCGATCGAGTCCTTCTCGTGGTCGATGGCCGCGTCGCTCGGGTGCAGGCGCCGCACGGCCTCCAGCTGCTCCAGCGAGAGCGCGCCGTCGGCGGCGGAGGAGTCGTAGAGGGACGGGTCGATGTCCTCGCCCTCGCAGAGGAGCACGCCGTGGATGGGCTCGAACGAGTCGAGCAGCGCGTGCACCCCCGCCACGCGCGGCACGATCACCGGCACCGCGCCGTAGCCCACGATGAGGTCCAGGTGGTACTCACCTGAGGACACAGACACACATGCGCCATGCAGGCGTCGTCAGTTCCATGCGAGTACCGTCCGACGAAATCCATGATGCGAATCAGATAATGCTACAAGGCTAAAAGAATGAAACCTCTCCGTCTCCGTGATGCCGGCGGCAATCGGAGAGGAAAACTCACCGACGAAGTCGACGAACTTGTTCTTGCGGACAGTGCGGCGCGAGACGATGAGCACGCGGGGGAGGACGCGGGAGAGGTCTGGGGAGGAAGACATGGCCAAAGCAATCCCAGATCTTTCTTGTTGTTAGCTAGCCTAGCGAGATTAATTAGCTGTGTGGGCTGCTACTTGCGATTCCTTTGTATGCAGAGATAGAGAGTTCTTATTGGTTTCTTTCTTGGATTTGGTGAGAGGGGAGGAAGAAGGGTGGCGATATTTATAGAAGGCGATCAAGAGTGTTTAGGTGGCCGAGATCAGCCTTATCACGAAATCGACTCCGAGCCGAACGTTTCGTAATTCATGGCGACGTGCGTAATCCAACTCGGCAGGGCAGCCCCGTCTGGGCGCCGCGTTACACAGGGGTCAGCTCTGCCCAAGGTCAAAGGGGGCAACTGCAATATTGCTACTACCTCCCCTCAAAATATGCCTACATGTTGTCAAAACCATGGCTGTATGCATACATATAATATATATAGCTGGATGCCAATCCGGCAGAACCGCAGAAGCAAAACCATGGCATGTTCGCTGGTGGGTGTTGATGCTGGTTTGGGCTGGCTAATGCTGGTTTTTTTAGAGGAAAACACTGTTGGCTAACTGGTTTGGGCTGGCTGAAACCAACAAGCGAACAGACTTATGCTTCTTTTTGGCGAAATATACTACTATACTACTGCTTCCGTTCTCTTTATAAGCCACAGGTTGACATGATATGATCGCCCAAATTATACTCTGACCATCTATTTATTTTATTTTATTTTATTTTATTTTATTTTAATTATTTATCTATGTATAAATTTATAATAATTGAATAATACGTTTATTACAAATATAATCGTATTAAGTTTATATTATAATAAATAAAAATTATTAGTCACATACTGTGAAGTTTAAATTTTGATGTACCTGCACGCCTTATAAAAGAGAATCTAGGAAGTACTGCCTTGGTTCATGAAGTATGTTTATCCAACGAGTAGAAAAAAAGTGAAGGCTGAAGTTATTGGAATTTTTCTCATGGCATACTGTTCATCTCTTGTGTTGCTATATACGGAGTATAGCTCAAGGGACCACCTATCACATGTAAATTGTCACATTAGATGGAAGAACCTTGAATTATGGTAGCAAATGAAGAGGGGAGGTGGGGGAATCCAAAACTTTCGCTATATAGAAGCTAAAAGAAAAGGCTAGCCGATTAGAACCTTGATGAAGAGATTTTTAAGAATTTTAGAGAGCATAATTGGAGTACTTGCGAAATTGGTAGGCATAGTTAAGTGGATTTCATGACATAGATTATTTGTTCAACTTGAAAGAAAAGGTTTCCTTCCCATGTACTTGTTGTACCTTCTATTATACCGATTATTATGTGACCAAATATGGTCAGGCTTGTGTCTGTTTTAGGGCCAAGTTTGACAAAGATGACCAAGCCTAAAAATGAGTTGGCTCGAATTATTTGTTTAATTAATTTTGAAACTAAAAATGAGCAGGCAGCTCAACCCGTTTGAAAAAAGTAGGCTCAACACTTGCCTGTTGGCATTATTGAGAATTAAGGCCCTGTTTGATCTCATGGCAAAACTTTAGTCCTGCACTTCTAACCTATTTTTTTTGCATGAGGATCCAAACAGGTAGACTAAAAGTGAGCAAATGGGGTGGACTAAAGTTTTACCCATTTGCTTCTCAAGGGGTGCAAAACTAGGCTAAAATGGCTTGGGGCGCAATGGACGCCAGATACCCCCACTTACCCACCCGCGCCCTCTCTTTCATGGGCAAATCAGTTATTACACCCCATGCTAGACTAAAGTTTAGCGGCTAAACTTTTGCCATGGCAAATGGATCCAAACAGGGTCTAAATTTAGGACACCAAATTTCCAAACTTAGATCGTAAAATGCTCAGATCTAGTATCAATACTCTATTTCAATTTTATTAAAAAATTGGGATTTCATGTCCTATATTAATCTTAGTTACTACGATGGGAGAATAATGTATATATACACCATAATGTTTGCGATGCCAATTTTCCTTTACCAAAGAACTATGAGTCTATGACCCTAGTCATATATTTCTTCTATAAAATATAGGGTGATTACGATTGAACTATCGATTTACAGATGTTATAATGTTTCAATTGAAATATGATATACTTTTTAGTAGCAACTTATATAATTCTGGCCATGTAGTATTAATACAGTCTAACTCATCAAAACATTTTTTTTTTGTATTTCTGGGATGTCTCTCTCTCTTTCAATGTTTCTAGAGAGGAATAATGGGAAGGCTTTAAATGGGAAGAGATTCTCCAAATTATAGTACAAATTATAAGATACATGAAACTCTACAATAAAGAAATACGTAAAAGAATCAATTCTCCGTACAAACACCCACGTTGTTGACTTGTTTAGTTGTCTGGTCCACAAAGCACCTATTTTGTTAGAGCCACAATAAACACGTTAGCAAAGCTAACAAAGTAGTAACAAGCAGCGCCGTGGATGGGGCAACTCTCATCCGCACACACTAGTCCAGTTCACTAATCTTATCAGCACAAATAAATTTTCAATTCCATTGTGATGATAATGTTTTCTTTTAAGCACGTCATTTTCAAGTTAATGGAGGTTGGAGGGTCAAAGGACAATAAGCATATGCTAGGGAAGGAAGCATATGTCCTACTTGCTTCAGCTTGATTTTGAAAAAAAAAAAACAGACTTCTTGTATTAAGCGAGTCTTGACACCTACTAGCTAGCTCCTGGACAGCAAAGATCGCTAATAGATGGGGACTGAGGTTCAAGGACAATATGCTCATATGCTTAATAGCAATACGCATATGCTTCATACTCGCTGCTTGGACATGCATGATGATCTCGACGGGCTAGGCATGTTTGTTTAAGTGATTTTTTTTTTGACAAAAATCAACATCTGAAATCTGTAAGATGTGGACCGGACTCATCTGCATCCCAACTTGATTGGAGGTTCAAATCACAGGATAATAATATGCATATGCATAATGCATGTGATTAGAAAGAAACATATGTGTGCTACTCGCTTTGAGAAACCTGTTTGTGAGTAGTTGATGTGGACTGGACACTGCGGGTGGTGCTGACTTGTGCTCGGTGGTTATCCAGGGGAGCCTGATACGGCCAGTGACAAACTGCTGATGTGTCGCAGGCAGCGCGCATGCATGCGTCAATGCTCAGCCCATCTCTTGTTGCCTTCCTCTTTAATCGCCTTGCCAACTCGACTCAACTCAAGTAGCACGACCACACTACTCATTTATTAGTTGCAGATTTCAAGCATATTTTACAGTGCCGAAATCCTGATCCGGTCTGCATGTTTTCTTCTAAAAAGAGAAGCTGCATCGACATACGTATGCATTGTGGAGTACTGTAGACGTATTGAGTGTTCTTCCGGATAATCCGTCGGCGTTCTTTCCCCAATTCCCCTGATAGATAATACTCCTATGTTCAGTAGAAAGTGGTCAAGACTCTTGATTTGCTAGGGCCTAATAGGTTTTCATAGTTGGAGAATATAAGCCATGCCCATTCGTTACCTTTTTTTTCCCTAAAAACTTGAACAATCATGCTAAAAAAAAAATTGAACAAATAAGAAAATTTTGATTTAGGACAAATTTAAAGTGACCTATAATTTTGAAACAACCTAATGGAGGAGTGATCGGTTAGCTATCTACGATCCTGTTTGGATCCAAGCAACTAACAGTTAGTTGCTAATAATTATCTCCTTTAGAGCTAAACGATCCAGCTAATTGTTAGTTAACCAAACTAACAATTATCTCACTAGTTAAATCAAACTAGTTAATAGTTAGCTAACTAATATTAGCTACGAGCCAGTATTAGCTAGCTAACTATTAGCAGTTAATGGTCCAAACAGGGCGTTGAAACCATAGACAACCTTTTATTTATCATAATGCAACTTAGGTCATATTGGGTATACATGGCTAGTTATCAGTTGGGCTAAAAGTTAGCCCAAATAGCTATGGACTAGCTAGTTGGCTAGCAACTAGTTGAAAACTTTAGCTAAGAAATTAACCCACATGTTAGCCCTCTTGTTTGGATGCACTAGAGCTAATTTAAACTATAGCTAGCTAGTAACAATTAGCTCATGATATCAAACAATGCCCTTAGTTTTCCATTCCCGCTTAAAGAAAGGAACAAAGGACGGGACGACGGGTATGGTTAGTTTATTAGTGTTTGCCAAATATATTTTGTCGCGCATATATATGCTACTCCTATATGAAAGCATGTAACACGATACACACAAATGCGATTAGAATGAGACCGTCCAGCTAACTAATATCGCCATGCGATAATTTTTTTTTGACATTGAACAGGAGGGGCACGCCCCTACTGGTATTTATTGAAAATAAGAGTACAATATGGAAAATAATAAAACAGGGTACAATATGGGACACAGAAGAGCCTAACAAAATGGGCTCAAGAAACAAAAAAGGAAAAAAAGAAGATGAGCTCTAAAACACAGATTAAACAAGGTTGTTTAACCATGATTCCACTCCCGGAAAGTAACTTCGTTTTGCGCGGAACAAAAGCAGCGCAAACTCTGATTTGAATGCCCCTTTTGCCTGCTGTAATGAAGGGGGCCTGTTATTGAAAATGAGCCCATTTCTCATTTGCCAGATTGTCCAACACATTATTATAATGATCTCCATGAAGAAAGGGACCTGGAGCTGGCCTCTGAAACTCTCCAAGCAATGCAGCAGCTCCCCTTGATGAGTTATCTGTAAACCGAGCCAATTCCAACAAGCTGTTGCAAAAGGGCATCCTATGAGCAGGTGAAAGACTGATTCCTCAGTTGTCTGATAACAGAGCACACAATTGTAATCTGGCAGTTCCATGTTCTTTCTTCTAAGTAGCTCCCTGGTGCTCAGTCGGTCCTTCAGGATAAGCCAAGCAAATACCTTGTGTTTGTTTTGACAAGAACTCTTCTAGATCCATTTGAAACCAGGGTGAATTGTTCTGCGACCCTTTAGATGTATATGCTTTGGCAACCGTGAATTTCCCAGAATTCCATATGCATGTTCAAAAGTCATTGTTGTTATTCAGAGTAATCTGCTGCAGGTCTTGCTGTAATTGGGTTAACTGTCCAAAAGCTTGCTGAGAAAGAGGCAAGTGAAAAAGATTCAGAAGATTGTCACTGGTTTTGGCTTCAGCTAGGATGGTATTCTTTGATTTGATAAAAGAATATAATTCTGGATAAGCAATCATTGGGACCTTGTCATTCCACATGTGAGACCATAAGAGGCAGGATTTTGCATTGTTGATATTAACTCTTGCCAGCCCCTTGAATTTATCAAGTAATTTCAGTATGTCTTTCCACCAAAATGATCCTTTCTTAGCCATTGAGGGGAGGCTACCTGCCTCATAGTAGCTTTCCCAGATGAGAGCAACCCAAGGGATATCCTCTTTGTTGAAAAACTTTATTAGTTGCTTTAGGAGCAAAGCTTCATTTTGTGTTTTAAGGTCGATGACTCCTAATCCTCCTTCACTTTTGGATTTACAAACATCCACCCATGCTGCCTTTGGTCTTTGACTTGCATTGACATCAGCCCCCTCCATAGGCAAAGTTTTCTGAACTTGTCTATCTGTTCAATTACCGTGTTGTGAACAGCAAAAGTACTCATGAAGAAGGTTGGAAATGCTGAAAAACTGAGTTGGTCAGCTCAAGTCTCTCGGCTTGATTTAGAAAAGTTGAAGTGGCAGCCAGTCTTCTTTCACATCTACTGACCAGAGGTGAGAAGTCGATGACTCTTGGCTTTGTCAATCCCAGGGGTAGTCCTAGATAAGTGAATGGTAAGGTACCCTTTTGGCAGTTAAAGGTTCTTGCAAGATGATCAATTCTAGAATCTTGCAGGTTGATTGGCACCATTACAGACTTACTATAGTTCACTTTCAAGCCTGTTGATTCTCCAAATGAGTGTAGCAGAGCCTTTAAAGTAAGTAGCTGCCTACTGCATGCCTCCATGATTATTAGTGTATCATCAGCGTATTGGATTATTGGAAAATCATTGGAACATCTTAGAGGAATGGGCAGCTTTAGCAAGTTAATATCCTTGGCTTTGTTAAGAATTGTCTGTAGGAAATCAGCCACCAGCATGAATAAGAGCCGAGAGAGAGGGTCCCCCTGCCTCACCCCTCTTCTACAAAGTAAGACTTTTCCTGGCTTTCCATTGAGCAGAAAGAAGCTGTCCCAGAATTAAAGATTTGTTTGATCCAACTGATCCATTTGTCGCCAAAGCCTTTAGCACTTAACACTTGTATAATAGTCTCATGTTCTACCTTGTCAAATGCCTTTTCAAAATCCAGCTTCAAGATAACTAGTTGCTTTTTGGACTTGTGATAGAGATGCAAATACTCTAGTGCCCAAGCCAGACAGTCCTGGATTGTTCTGGTCTTAATGAACCCATATTGGTTCTCATGGATGATTTGTTTGATCACCTTCTGTAACCTGTTTGCAAGAACTTTGGTGATTAACTTGAAAGATGTGTTGAGCAGTGAAATTGGCGTATAATCACCAGGTGTTGTGGGGCCATCTTTTTTTGGTATAAGTGCCAGATGCGAAGTGTTTATGCTTCTTAGACAAATTTCTCCCTGATACAAAGCATCAAATAGTCTGTAGTAGTCTGGGGCAATCAGAGTCCAGCAACCCTTGATGAATTCATTGTTGAACCCATCCGGTCCAGGTGACTTATAGTTTGGGAGTTCAGCTATTACATTGTCAATTTCCAATCTGCTGAATGGTACTTCTAGTGCATCTAAGCTCTCACTGGTTGTCAAGAGGTTGTCCAGATTGAAAAGTAATCCTCTGAATTTAGACTTGCCAAGTCTATCTTTGAAAGTTTCCCAAAGTAGTTTTGCCTTCTGTTCATGATCTATGATGATTATTCCTGATTCATTCTGCAGACAGGCTATATTGTTCTTCCTTTGCCTAATGGTAGCATGGGCATGAAAGTATTTGGTACAGGCATCACCTTCTTTGACCCAATTAATTTTTCCCCTTTGCCTCCAGTAGGTCCTTTGTTGCTTGAGCAGTGCAACAAGTTTGGTACTTAAAATGTCTCTAAAGTTCCATTCACTAAGTATTAGATCCCTGAAGCATTCAATGGTATCCAACAGTTGCAGGACCAATTTACAATTATCAATGAGCTTTATGAGAGGTGGAGACTTGGCTTTCCAGATTTTTAGATGCTTCCTTAGATTTTTGCATTTAGCATTGATTGCTTTTGCTGGTTCCTGTGGTAAGAAAGGAGCTGACCATCCATGGACGAGGACTGAAATAAAGTCTTCTCTATTCAACCAATGGTTTTCCAATCTAAATGCACTTCCTTTTGGGACTTTGGTGTTGATTTCAATCAAGCAAGGCCAGTGATCAGAAGTTTCCATGGTCATTGCCCTGACAATAGTGTTTGGATATTTCTCTGTCCAGGCATTGTTTGTAAAGAACCAGTCAAGTCTCTCTAGCAAGGGGATGGCTGTTTGTTTGTCCAAGTAAATTGCCTACCATGCAGTGGCAATTCAACTAAATCCAAGGTGTCAATGGCTTCATTGAAGAGAAACATTTCATTTGTATCCCCTCCTTCTCTGTTCCTGTCATCAGGCCTTCTTATTAGGTTGAAGTCCCCTACTATGATCCACTCAGTTTGATCTGGCATTTGGATGCCCTCAAACCATTCTAAGAAACTTCTCTTACCGGCATGAGTACATGGGGCATAGATTGGAGTAAGAATCCAGGAATTGTTATTCAGAGTTGATGTCATTTCAAGTGAAATAGCATACTCATTTTGGAATATTTGAGCCCCATGAAAAGAGGCACCTTTCTATGCCACTAACATTCCCCCTGAGGCCCCAACCGATGGCTTGAATACAAATGTATCAAAATCCTGGGGGCATATGTTTCTGAGAAAATCTTGGTCAATCACCTCCTTTTTGGTTTCCTGTAAGCATATAATGTCACTTCTACTTTCAACAATCTTGTCTCTAATTGAGTTCCATTTTTTCTCTGAATTAGCTCCTCTTACATTCCAGCACAGTATTTTCCAATATCTAATTGGCTTCATTGTTAACAGATATCTTGGACTTTGGGATTGGAAGTGTAGAACACTTCAATCTGAAATGAGTCGGCCACTGTATCACAGTATCAAAACCAGAAACGCAAAATAGAAAAAAGACAGAAACAAACACAGGCAAATAGAAGATAAATAGACCAGACATTAAAGCGCCAGGCAAAGTTAACTGGCAGAAAGTACCAAAATACAGGCTCCAGGAGCCTAAACCACCAAACATAGGTTCAACTAACATTAAGACAGATAGGAAAGCTAAAAATAAACAAGACTGAAACATCAATCAGTCTTCCTTTCCTTGTTGGGCCCATCTCCATCTGAGCTTCATCATCATTTTCCTTGTTCTTTCCTTTCTTCTTAATTGGCTTGGGCTTCTTTCTTTTGTTGAGAACAGCTTCATCCACCTCCTCTGGATTAATCTGACACATTTCAGTTCCAATAGCTTGCAGGGTGGCAATGAAAAGAGTGGGTGGCTGCACTTTGCACCCAAGGCAGTTAGTTATTTTGCACCCACTTGGTTTGAATCCATTGGTTCTTCCTCGGACTCTGTTGCTTCTTCTGACCTCTGATTCCACCACTGGGGATTACATCTTTCCCTTCCTCTGTTTCTTCTTCTCAAGAGGTGATGCATTCAGCTCCTCATCCAGGATGAAGGCCTCTTCGGGGATAAGTGAGCTGCTGAAAGAGTCCAACTTGCCACAGAGCTCTACCTTTCTATTACAGGGCTCAGGAGACAGACTGACATTGACAACATCTGGAGACTGAGGAAGGAAAGAGGGAAACTGGGGTTGCCAGCAGATTCTTGGCCCATGTGAAGCTTTCAGGTGAGTTCAGAAAAACCTGAAAGAAATCAGCCCACTTCCTTGGTACTTCAATCAGAGCAGTTTCTGAGGCTTTGCCAACTGGGTTGTAGTCATTGCTGTTTAGCTTCATAGGAGGTGCAGGAAACAGCTGCTCAGTCAGTGGGGCCTTCCTGGTTGTCAGATCACTAGGGCCAGTTGCATTTGAATAGAACCTATCATATATCCTGACCATTCCCAGTTGAATCTGATCTTCCTGAACATGATCAAGCTGTCAATCCATATTCTGCTCATTGATATGTTCATGTATCTCATCATCATTCATTAACTCATCCTCCTGAATCTCCAAAGGAAGAAAGTTATTTTCCTCATTCAGGAGGTGAATAGGGGCTACCTCCACAGCATTTTCTGCAACTTCCTCAACCATCACCTCCAGGGGTTCAGGTTGGACTGGCTGAGGCAGGTGAATCTCCTGTTCCATCTGACTATTGTCTGCCATTCCTAGCTCCCAATTGTTCTGCACTTGATTAGCTTGCACACCTGGATGTATCCGTACTTCTTGGTGGTCTTCTATTATTGGCAAATCATTGAGATCTTGGAGTAGGACAGGTGGAGGAGCATTCAAGTTGATTTCTATCTGAGCAGGGCCCTGCTGAGCAGCCTGCAAGTGCTCAGGCCATTCAGCCCAACCATTGTTCTCCTCGGGAGCAGCCTCATTGTTTGGAGCAACGTCCATCTGCTCCTGTAACTGCTGCTGAGGTGGTTCCACTTGCTGGTTCAGGACATTCTGTCCCAACCCAAAGAAATCAAATGGGAGCTGTCCTTGAATCTGAACCTGCTCTGGAATGTCTTCATCCTGAGGCCCAGCTCCCAGCATGTCTCCCTGCACTATCTTGCACTGTATGGTCCACGATTCCCCCTCAAAACCAGGTATATCAGATAATACGATAAATTGAGGCACAGCTTCCAGATTAGCAACCCTAGCTCTAGCAAGTACCCTAACTTTGCGTCTGTCATCTGCATGCCAATCAATGATTCTAGCAAAAGGTGCAAGCACAGTTTCTATATACTCTTTATCCCAGTAATCTAGATGCAATCCCAGGAACATAAGCCAACATTCGAAGCCAATTTCACAATTGAAACCATAGGGCTCAATAATGCCCGAACCCCCACCCAGCCCCCGTTGCCCCAACGAGGGCGACTCACCCCCAATCCCCCATATCTCCTCTCCACATGCAAACCAGCCCAAATCGACGCCAGATCCGTGCGCGGCCAGCTCCGATCTACCTCCCAGTGGCTTCAATGCCGCCTCTACACCACAGATGGCGGAGATCTCGCTCGATGCAGAGGAGAACAGTAGCTCTTCAGAAGAGCCTGTCATGGCGGATTCAAGCCTCCCCAACCGCATCATTGAAGATGTGGGTGAAGCTCAGATCCTGGAGGAGCTAGCGAGCGACATCAGATACCTACTTCAAGATCCAATGGCCGGGGCTGCTCAGGCGCTCGCCCAGCCCGCGGTCCAAGTAGCGGCAACGGTGCGAGATTCAAAGTCCAGAGGTAGCAAAGATGAAGCTCGTCAGGACACTTCAGGTAGCAATCAACCAGCACAGAAGACTGCGAAGCTCTGCGACACGACTGAAATCGGACCAAAGCATTCAATCTTCAAGCTGAGCAACCAGAACGGCTCCAATGTTGAAGACCGGAACAGTACACCTAGTCTGAATTGCCAGGAAGGGGAGATAGGAGCTATTCTGAAGAACAAGAGCAAAGGCACTGAGGGTAGCAATCAACGTCCGCAGGCTGAGCGGGAGCGCTGCAACACCTCCGCAAAAGGAACTCCTTCTTCAATCCTCGGAGCTAGCAAGCCAAAGAAATACACCAGGGTAGAGAAAGAAAAATGGGTGCTGGAATCCACAAATGCATCCCCTCTGCCCGGTCCATGGAAGGCCGAGACCCAGAGCAGAGCACGCCCGGAAACCTGGACAGAAGTTAAGGGGCCGTACTGGTGGAGGAAGGAACAGCAATATTCAAGTTCGTCGGAAGGAGCAAGCCAGCGACCAGTGACACTTCGGGGAATCAAAAAATTCAAACTGCATGCCCGTGGTAAATGTTTCAATTGCTTAGCTTCAGACCATGTTGTGCGTGACTGTCGTTCACCAACCTGCTGTTGGCGTTGCAGAGGAAGAGGGCACCATGCCAGCGGGTGCTCACGCAAGCTATCGGAGCACCGTGTAAAACAACCAGCACCTACAAGCAAACTTTCATTCCCGCAGCTCTCCTCTCCAACACCACCTCCTAGCAACCACACCTCAACCAGAGACACGGGCTGCTCCTACTTGGAGGCGGCACGCGGTGAACCAGCACCAGCGGCGATGGCGGCATACCCCGGCGATCCCAGGGCGCGTCCTGCTGGTGCGCAGGTGTTCGTCACCGCCACGGGGGGCATCAAGAGGCGCAGGGATGCGCTGGTCGGCAAGGCGGCAGTGTGCTGGCTCCAAGGGAATAGCCATGACACGGAGCCATACCACGTCGGTGACGCCCTCAGGTCCAAGCTTGGCCTGGCCTTTGAGGACTTCCAAGTAGTCAAGCACTACCCAGAGCAGTATTTGGTCATCTTCTCTGAGGAGCGTTTCAGGCAGAGGGCGACTCGGCAGCACAGCATCGAGGATGGTGGAAGGGTCTTCAACTTCGCTACTTGGAATGAAGCCAGGGAAGCAGAGGATGCGCAGCTGGAGTTCCATGTCAACATCCGCATCGAGGGCATCCCACCTCATGCCTGGGGGGGAGGATGTGGCTGCCCTGATCCTGGGGCAATCATGCGCCATCCACTACGTTGAGGAGCACACTCGGCGCCGGGAGAGGACAAGGACGTACGATGTGTGGGCCTAGTGCGCAGACCCGAATAAGATCCCGAAGACGTTGTGGCTGACCATCACCGACCCGGATGCTGAGCAGCCACCTGTGGACACCCCTCGCATCTATGTGCAGGTCCACCACGAGCCGCCAACCGGGCTCAAGCATGCCCTGTCCTACAAGGTCTTCCCCCACCTGGTGGTGGTCGAGGATCTGTCCTTCATCAATGGGGATGGTGGACAGGGAGGCCCCCCAAACCGCAAGAGGCGCAGGGAGTTTCTCTGGAGGTATGGTGAGCCAGACTCCCTAGGAGAGGCCTGGGGACGCCATGGCAGAGACCGTGGGCGCCAGGAGCATCGCAACCACAGAAGGGATGAAGACCACGACGGCCGTGGCGGCAACAACCGCCGACACAGAAGCGTCTCAGCCTGGGGCCGGGTCACTCGCTGCCGCAATGGAGTTGCGGACTGCTACAGCACCAACTTCCGTGGGCCTGCGCCGCGCGGAAGAGGCTCCTACCGGTCAAGGCTTTGGGAGGAGCCCAGGAGGTTTATGTACAAGAAGAAGGTGGCACCTGCAACGACTACAACAAAAGCAAGTAAGAACATGAAGCATGTCTCCTTCGCTGAACCGCTTGTTTCATTTTTGGGAGAATCCATTAAAGTTGCAAGTGAGCCTCCTTTCCAAATCCTTGACGTTCCGAGCCATGATAACCCAACAGATAATTTTGATCCTATGATTCATGAGTTCCTCATTCATGTTGATCAAGGTGAACATGGCAAGAAGGCAACCAAGACAGCTGACCAAGAGTTGCTGAAGGAGCGCAAGTCAGGGGACATCCTGGTCCAAGACAAGGGGGCTATGGCCATCTTGAACCGCTCAAGATCTGGGCAGTTCTTCTCTTCCTAACAAGCTGTTCTGCGAAATGGAGGATATCAATGTTGTCACTAGTCCACCTTCGAGATAGTCCTATGAATACAACTAAGTTTTTAACACGTCACAAGTAGATGGCTCCACAACTCCCTCACCGTCACTCATAGACCCAACTATTTTAGTAGAGGGCAGGAAGTATTGGGGATTTAAACAACTTGATCAACATTAATCCCGCCCAAGTGAAGTAGCACTCTTCAACTTGTCACGCCACTTTTAGACAGTTTGACAACACCTCGATTCGAACATGCTGAAAATGCAAACCATGACATACAGAACCAAACTCCTATAGTTGAGGAACATGTTCAATCAGAAATGAAAATGGCTTGTTTGAACAACCGCCTCAGACCTCTTTCTTGCATCCATCTCTGAGAGGTAGACCAGCCTCTACTACTGCACTGCTACACTAAACAACCCACATCCCCAACCAAAATTTAAAAGCCACAGAGTTGCATCCTCAGTACCAAGCGGAAGAGTAGTGCGTCTTATAGCCAAAGCCATGAATTGAAAAGATACTATACAAATAGCTCAGACTTGTCATCAAGAAATTGGGAGAACTTTCTCCGCATAATCAGTGCAAATATTCCTAACATTGAGTCGTTCTCAAGAAGACCTCGATCAACCACTAACCAAGAAGAGTATGGAGGCCCTTCAGGTTCTGGTGGAGCACGGTGCTAAGAAGATGAAGAAGGGGGGCAACCCCAGGAAGCAAGGACCAGCAACACGCATGGAGGTGGCCTGAGGCACTTTGCCTCGGGAAACAAATAGGGCGGTTTCTCTAAATGACAGCTCTTCATCGCATCTCATCCAGGCATCGGTGGCACAGGACTCTCATGTCGCTTTAGTTCGGGCCCTGCGTGGCTGTCAAGGGGTTTGTATGCCCATGTTATGCAGATCATCGGAATAGACTCGCACTACGGATGTGTCGATTATCTCAAGGATCTTTCAGCATTGACCGACGGGGAGACTATGGCTCGCTTGGCTCAAACAATCCTTGAAAACCCCGTGGGTTCTATTTCGAATATTAGGGACCTGCTGGCCTCGCTGCCTTCGGTCCATGTATGTCAGGAACTTGGTCTATGCTTTAGTTGCTAATGGTGGTTAATGTCGCAGAAAAATTGCTCTGTCTTGTGTTGGAATGTTAGAGGCCTCAACGATGGGGTGAAGCGGGCAAGTGTGCGCAATCTCATTAGCGCATCCAATGCGACTATTGTATGCCTTCAGGAAACTAAGATAGAAAGCTGGACTCAGAGTCTCCTTGTAGAAACCGTGGGTCCAATTTTGGCTCGAAATTGCAGTTTTCTCCCATCGATAGGGGCAGCGGGAGGTATCCTAATGGCAGTGTCTAACCAATTCTTCAGTATGTCACCTTTGCAGACAACGAACCATTCTGTGTCTGCTGAAATCACGATGCTAGAAGAGAACGTAACCTGGTGTTTGACGGGTGTGTATGGGCCACGTAATCGATCAAGAAAAATTATGCGTTCCTTCAAGAGATTATTAGACCTCGTGCAACATATAAGGACATCATGGCTTATCATAGGGGACTTTAACCTCATTTATAGAGCTGAAGACAAAAACAACGATAGGGTCAACATCCGAATGCTCAACAGATTTAAAAATACAATAGACAATTTGCAGCTAGCACCTCTGGAGTTGAAAGGGAGGCGATTCACATGGTGCAACGACCAACAAAACCCAACGATAACGAAAATTGATCATTTCCTAGCATCAATCGAATGGTTGGAAATCTTTCCAAGAACTGACCTCCAGGCTTTAGCATCATTGGGCTCTGATCATTGCCCATTATTTCTTCAGGGAGATACGGATTTTGACTTCTACCGAGGTTTCCGTTTTGAGGCGCACTGGATACACATGCCGGAATTTACACAAACGCGGTCCAGTGGCATGGGAGCAACCAAGAAGCTCTCGGACCCGATCTTTGCGTATGCATGTCAAACTTTTGCGCACAGCAAGAGCCCTTAAAATATGGAGGCAAACACAACTCAGTGATTGGAAACTAAGAGACGCCATTCTTCACTTGATCCTATTAGAACTTGAGAAAGCACAAGAAAGACGCATGCTGACGACGGAAGAGTTGGAATTTAAAAGATACCTGAAGATGAAATCTTTAGGCCTCGCTGCCATTCAAAGGGCAAGAGCCGACAAAGATTCCCTATTGACTTGGATTAGAAAAGGGACACTAATACCAAGTTTTTTCAGCTACACGCTTAACGCTAGACATAAGAAAAATTATATTAGCACAATCCAAAGTGATGAGGGGCTCGCCGTCACTCAAAGAGGACAAATCTAAAGTCGCACTAGAGTTCTTTTCCAATGTCATTGGTAGTAGAATGCCGAGAGGTCGGGCTATCAATTGGGAGCAAATGGGCTATTCCCCCACAACCTTGAGGATTTAGACACGCCATTCATAGAAGAGGAATTGCTCAACACAATCAGGTCATTACCGTCGGAAAAAGCTCCGGGCCCGGATGGCTTCATTGGAGTTTTCTATAAAAAATGTTGGGAAATAATCAAAGATGATTTTTACGTAGCAATACTTGGTTTCTATAACCACGTAATCGCTAAGATGAGTTTGTTCAACGAGGCCAATATTGTATTGTTGCCCAAAAAACAAGATGCAAGGACTTTAAATGAATATAGACCAATAAGTCTCATCAACAAAGATGGTTAAAATCATCACTAAGATGTCAAGCGATCGATTGGTGCCACACTTGAATGAGTTGGTGTCGCATGCCCAAAATGCTTTCATCGGAAAAGGTGTATTCACGATAATTTCATTTATGTACAAAGGGTCATCCAAACCACAAGAAAAAAAGAAGCTAGCATTGTTTATCAAATTGGACATTTCAAAAGCTTTTGACTCAATAGAATGGCCCTATCTCCTTGAGGTGCTTAAAGCACTAGGTTTTAGCAGAAGTGGCGCAACTGGATATCAGAATTCTCGCACTTCATCATCCAAAATTCTCGTTAATGGTAGACCGACTCAAAATATTCCTCATGCGAGAGGTCTCAGTGGCGGATCATCCATTGTCACCTTTATTGTTCATCATCGCCATAGACCCGTTATAACGTATCATCGAACATGTAGCTCAATGGGTATTCTACACCCGGTTTTGCCCAAGGCCGCAACCTTGCGATGCTCTCTCAGATGCGGACGATGCAGCCATATTTGCAAACCCGAACGTTACAGAGTTGAAGAATGTTCAAAAATACTAAAGTTCTTCGGAGAATGCTCGGGGCTAAAATTAACATGGAGAAGACGGAGATCTTTCCGATAAGGGTAGAGCCCGACTTAATACCTTCACTCATCCAGAATTTCCCTGGGAAAATTGGAACTTTTCCAGGAAAATATCTTGGGCTACCACTTCACACAAGGAAGCTAAGGAAAATTGAATTCCAGCCACTAGTAGATAAGATAGGAGCCAGGCTGCCAGGATGGAAAGGAAAATTATTGTCAACCTCTGGAAGGGAAACATTAGTAAAAACGGTTCTTTCCTCCATTCCAATCTACCACTTCACAGTTTTTCAGGCGCAGAAAGGGGTGCTCAAAAGGATTGACAGATTACGCCGCAGTTTCCTTTGGCGCGGTGAAACTCCAGAAAACGTTACCGGGGGACATTCACTTATAAACTGGCCCACCACCTGCCTCCCAAAGGAAAAGGGGGGGATTGGTATCTTGGATTTAGAGAGTTTCACAAGAGCTTTGAGGTTGAGATGGCTATGGTTCAAGTGGAAACAAAAGGAAAGAGCATGGACAAACCTGGAAGTCCCATGCAACAAGACCGATCATGAGCTTTTCAACGCATCAACCGTAGTAAATATTGGCAATGGAAAAACAGCTTTGTTCTGGACTTCGTCATGGATTAACGGCGCTTCGGCAAAAACAATCGCGCCTAGCTTGTTTCTGACGCATGCAGAAGAAGATTTCAGTGCAAAAGGCTCTAGAAAATAGCAGATGGATTGACCACATATATCCTCCGAATTCACATGCAGAGGTCTCTGAATTTGCCGACCTTTGGGAGGCCATCAAGGATACGCAGTTGATCGACAATATGGAAGACAATATAAGATGGCGTTGGATGAAAGTGGAGAGTACACAACAAAAAAAAGCGCTTATAAAATTCAGTTTCAGGGGACCTTTTCCAAGCTCGAATTATGCCAATTGGAAGGCCAAGACGGAACCGAAATGCGATTCTTCGCATGGACACTAATGCACAAAAAATTCTGACCGCAAACAACTTGATGAAGCGAGGATGGACGGATGACCCCATATGTAAACTATGTACAAATGATCAAGAGACACCAACACACCTGTGTAAAGATTGCCCTTTCACTAAGGAAATGTGGGAGTTGATCAAGATATGGTTCAGTTTAACTGACCTAAGCTCCATAAGCACAACTGGGTCGCTTCATAATTACTGGCGAAGATGTAGGAGAAAAGTTGACAAAAATCAAAGACGGCGCTCACGGGATCATAATCTATTTTGGTGGAATATATCAAAGAGAGGAATAGGCGAACTTTCCAACAAAAAGTTTGAGTCCAAGACAAGTTGCAAGTTTGTGCAAAGATGATATAAGTCAATTTTCTTTGGCGACGCTCCAATTCATAATACGCGAACTAGCAAGGGACCTCTTCTTCTTTGGGCTGTGGTTCTTATTTTCGGAGTGTCCCTAGTCTCATTTTTTTTACCTTTTTTTTCTCATCAATTGTTTTTTCGCGCTCTTTTACTAGTTTTCCGTTTTGTTTAGCAGGGGACGCTGGGTGTAAATAGAGAGTTGTATTTGCCCCTTTTTTTCTCTTTATATCGTCTAATAAAATCCACGGCAAAGCTTTTGCCGTTCTTTCGAAAAAATAAGCCAACATTCTTCGTTAAATATAACCCTTCTCCAGTTATGGCCCTGATTATGCCTAGTGAAAGAAATGTTGACATCATCAAATGGATGGGGACTCTCTAGAACATAGTTGTCTCTATCATAGTTATTCCGAAAAGAAAACGTACATACGCCTGTCCTACATGGCACGGCTGAATGTCCACTAATGGCACATGCTCCCTGTCTTCCAAGAACTCTCTGAGAACTTCTCTGACTACTGCAAAGTTCAGAGGGTTACCAGGCAATGGCGTGATCGTTGCGATTGCCACATTCTCATTCTGCGGCTGCGGACGGGAGCTTGTGACAGCACGAACCATTAGTGGTCGATTTGGGACGTCCTCCCATGTCATCCCGCGCGACAGGAACGGCCGCGGGTCCGCCCTCTGGAACGCCATGATCACGTCGGAGCGCTCCGCTGGGAAGGATTGGGTGGCAAGAGCAGAATGCTGTTGGAGGTTTTCTTGGTGGACTGTGGCAGCTATGGTACGGCGGGGTGACGAAGCAATATAAATCACCCGAGAAGATGAAGGGTTGCAAGCCGAAGAGCTGTGTTTACCTCAGAATGTCTCTCTGCACTGTGGGTCCCCTTTTCATTTTGGCCCACTGTCATGGAGGGTTTTTGCAATTTCCATGGTACAGTAATTGGCTCCGACGGGCCTGTCGATGGCCGGGACAGTGCTGTAGAAACCCACCAATCCGAGAAGGATTGAAATCGTGGTGGGCTGCTTGTCCCCGGCCCAAGAGTCCTATGCGCGTCTTCAGAGAACCATTTGGGCTGCGCGAGGTCTCTTTTTCCATTACTGCGACTTGAAGGGCCTTGGGGCGTGCTGCACAAACGGTTGGCAGCAGTGCAATTAACTGCTATATGTCCCCAATTCATGCAGGCCAAGCATCTGATTGGGCTGAAGCATGCACGCCGGAGATGCTTGTCAGATAGGCATCGAGAGCAAATCCCTGCAAAATATCCCTTCGGAAGATACTGTGTCCCCCCTGGTTGACTCCGACTCAAATTCAAACTCGAAAAACCAGCCCTGTTGACTCCGCCGTTTCCAGCTTGACTGAAACTAGATGAGGACTTTGCATGGTCTGAATGAATCTGCTGCTGATCAGTGGCCTCGGAATGCCTGAAATTATTTGGAAACTCTAATCTGTTGAATGCAGAAACTCTCATAGGAATTGCATTGGCCCCTGTCAAATGACCAAGCTTTACTGCCTCTGCAAAAGAACGCTGTCTGACGAAGTTTTTAGAAGCAATTGAAGGAGGCTGTTGCTGAGGTGAAGATGAGCTCCTTCTGATTTCAGACCAGGAAGATGCTTCTTCTTTGCAATAGTTAGCAAATTCAAGCTCCCAACGAGGTCCCCCATTACTCCGCAGATGAAAGAAAATTTTGAAGCAGGAAGACTCAAAACTCTTGAGCTTGACAATGTGAAAGCCAACAAGCTTACTAGACACAGAGAATCGAAAAACGCGATCAGCAAGCTGAACCACGTCAAAATCAGAAGCCGAGCCACCAATGGTTGCCTGAAGGATCAGACCAACCAAAACCGAGCAAAGACGAAACTTACAACGACCAAAAGAAGCAACCAAGAAGAAAGGAGCGCAGGAAGGAACAGAGGGCGAAACCGAGGAGCCATAGCGCTGAAGAACCACAGACTGAATACCAGCACCCGGACGATAACTGAGACCAGGGAGATCCATGGCACCAGGGAGAGAAGCTTACAGGGGAAGTGGCAGAGTGTCCATGTGGCTCAAATCAAACCACCATCAAGGGCAATACACCTCATGACGCTGCTCTCCTCTTTGTCACTCGATCTCCCGGCAGAAATCCACCTTCTTGCAGTCACCAGCTTCCACGCCGGCCAAGCAGCTTCCTCACCGGCCAAGCAGCAAACAGTTGGCGGGCGAGTTCAGAGGGGTGCACCAACCACTCCAGCGAAGAAAGGAAGGCAACCTTCGGGGTGACACCAGGGATCTTCGGTGAATGGAGGCCACCGGCGGGAGAGTGGACGACGGAGCTGGAGAGGCCGCCGGCGGGCGGGGGATCAGTGGATGGACGGCGGGGCCGGAATGGCCGCCGGCGGGAGCTCAGCGGGGTTGGTCGCCAAGGGGCGGATCGTATTCACTCGCCATGCGATAATTATGGAGACGGCGACCTCCATCCAATTACATGACCCTGCTGCAGCTTCCACAGATGATTCATGTGTAGCACTAGTGCGTACGTAACTGACGAAGTCGACATTACATCTTGCTTGAGGCCTTGAGCTTGACGACACACGGTACCGTAGGTTGCATGTGTTCCCATGCCGATGGAGAGCTCTGGGGAGGAGCCACCACACGGCCAGCTGCGCGCACATCTACGTGCATCAGTGCATGGCAGACGCATGGCCGGAGCCCGGAGCCCGCACCTTTGGCTGTTGACTTGTTGGCCGCGGCCCCGCGCGATCGAGTGAGAGGCCACAGGACAGGGGCCACCAGTGCGGTGTTTGGTGATGGGCAGGCAGCGAGAGCAGGCATCATCGTCCACTGGTTCCGTTTCCGACAGGGTTAACAGGCCACTGGGGGCTGGGGCAGCCTGCCGCAGTGCCGCCCAGGGTCCCTCCCGGCTCCAAGAAAGCGGTGGACTTTCTAGTGCAGTGCAGTCCTCCTGCACGGTGCACGGTGCACGTAGCCCTTGTCCGAGAGAAGGTAGTATCTGGCCTCCTTCTGGGCGGGCCGCCCCCGCCGCGCAACGGCCGGTTGCCGTCTAGGGGAGGTCCTCCTAGGACGCTTCAAATGCGGATCATACTCCACTACTCCTCCCGTTCAATTCTTCCGAGCTTGCACTCATCCATGGCTTCTTTTCGTACAGATTAAATATAAACAACTGGGGGGCATATATTCATTAAAGAAAGAGATTTCTTAAATGACCCTTGGAGATTCCAAGAGGTACCAGAGGTTTGGTGCTCATCTACCGCATTTTTTTTTTGAGAATTCATCTACCGCATTTTTGGTGCATGATATATCGTCCTATTCGCTTGGCTTATAAGCCATATTTTTTATTATTTTTCTCTCATAACAAATCAAACAATACTTTCAGCCATGGCTTATCAGCAAAGCGAACAGAGCATATATACACTGAGGTAGTATATCCTATGATAGGCCTATGATTTTGCTACTGCTGTAGCTAGTATTACCTCCGTCTAAAAAAAATCTAGTTATACGAATAAAGTATCTAAAGTTTTTATCAAATATACAGATAAAATATTAATATTTATAACATCAAATAAATATATTATCAAAATATGTCTTATGAAAAATCTATAATTATCTATTTAGTACGATAAATATTTTTAAATAAATTTAGTCAAATTCTACATACTTTAACATATATAGCGCTCTTTTAGATTTGCATCTTTTTTTTTGAGGGACAAGTAATAATGTTGGCACGTCCGAATAAAATCGTCATGGAGTGTAAATTTGTTTTGGTCTTTTTTTTTTGTAAGATAAGGGAAGACCAGTAGATTTCTCAAAACTGAAGCTGTCTTCGCCAAGGATATTCATGTATGCTACAGGGACTGCGGCACAGGACAAATGTGCCGCGTTGAAATGAATGAAAAGAAGTTCTGGAACAAAGGTTCAGCAGGCATTCTGAGGCGGCTACCAAAAACGTCCAACTGCTGTAGAAGTAGCAATGCACAACTCATCATACCTCACAACTCACATGTACTGAGACTGTGTCTCCAATAAATAACCCATATAAAGATCCAAACCCAAAATGGGTCGTGGATGATACTGTGTCTGTCTCCAACAGAATACCTATATACGAGATCTATTTTGGGTTACAGCAGATGTACAACCCAAATATGAGTATCTCTTTCCTAAAGACTTATTTGCAGAAATGGTTCTCTTTTGGATCCTGTTGCTGAAGAAGATCAAAAATAGATATTAATCTTTTTGCATGTAACGCTATCAAACATGAAATGAAATATATCTTGTATTTTAGGTCACGTCGTTGGAGATAGTATAAGATAGCGGGCGCAAGACCGGCTGCCCGGGAAGATGAAAGGCCATTTGCAACTGTACTCCTGTAGTAGAGGGTGCGTTGTCACCGGTACGGTGACGCCATTAGGCCATTACTCAACGACAAGCACAGCTCAACACAGCTGCACCGGCGTACTAGTAATTCACTCATGACACGCTCACCGGCACGGGCCGCACGTGCACGCACGAGAAGGCTCCGATCCGCCGCGGCTACCTGTCACTCGATCGGCTACGCAAGTGCACGAAAGACAAGTCATTTTTTTGCATGTGAACACTGTACGAACGGACATGATGCCACTGTATATTTCTCTACACCTATCATACGTTTTCTGATACACTTTTTCCGAGAACTTGACTGATACATACAACAACAACAAAAAAAAACATTGAAACGACAGGATGAACACACTTTGTGTCTCCGCTCCCGCTAGCGAACCCTAACTACCTCAGACGGTTTTTGAGGACAACTACCTTCAGACTTGCCAAAGAGAGAGCAAAAGGTTGCATGGTAACAGTTGTGCATGTGACTAAACAGCCGATCTCACAGGCCAACTCTATCACCATCACCATCTCCTGGTGGGAGCCCGGCGGGCGGCGAAGAAGCGGTGGTCCGGGTGGTCGGCGCGCAGGAGCCTGAGCCAGGCGTCGGCGGCCTGCGCGAGGGACGCGGCCATCTGCCGGTCGCGCCAGCCCGGAGTCCACGCCGCCGCCTTCACCTTGTACGACGCCATCGCGAACGTCGGGAGCCACATCGCCGTCACGGGCGCACTACATGTGGTGGTCGCCGCCGTCGGTTTGGGGCTGCTGGTGCCCGCACCTGCGAACTGCGTGGACAGGGAGTGGTAGGTGAGGAAGCAGGCGTCCAGGTCGCGCAGCGTCGGCCCCGTTGGGATCCGGTAGATCGGGTACCTGAAATGACGCGCGCAATGCAAGCTGCTGTCAGCAGCAGATCGGTTTCTGAATTCTGAGCAACCATTCTACATCAAGAACTTTGAACAAGAAGCCATCCGATAAGTATCTCACTAGTGTAGAGTGATCTAGTACCACCATACCATGCAACGGAGATCCAGCTGGCCGGCGACAGATCGCAGCTCCTGAGAGTCTTCAGCTCTGGAAACCGCTGGGCGAGGCTACAAATCTGCACCGAAGTAAACCCACTTCGTCAGACAGACATTCAGACAAGCAGGACCGAGCCTGGTGTGTGGTGAGTGATCGATGGACGAGGTGAGTCTCTGTCAGAAGACATGCCTTATCAGCCAGCGGCTCGCGTTGGTAGGGGGGTTCGGATTCGAGGAACTCGAAGAGGAGCCGCTCTTGGCAGCAGCTTCCCGGCTCGCCTTCGTCGCTGGAAGCTTCGCTGCCGCCGCTGGTGCTGCTCTCGCTCGCCTCCTGGGCTGAGAACGTGTTCGTGCTGGAGCTCGTCTCGCGCTCCACGTCGCTGTCGCTCTCCTCTGCACCCGTCCTGCGTTGGCGTTGGACATCAATTTCAACAACATCAGCAGGGGTTAGTTGCCAACCATGATTCCGTGACCACAAACAACCACAACCACGTGCAGTGTTGTTTGCGTACGTGTTCTTTGAGTACAGCTGTGTCATGATCTAGTGCTACAGGTGTCGTAGGTTTTGCTCCCGAAGAGTATACGTACATGTCAGAGAAGTTTCGTGAGCATACTGACACATTCAGAAAAGAGAGAGAGAGAGAGAGAGAGAGAGAGAGAGAGAGAGCCTCTACGTTTGACGGCTTGAGTAGTCCAAATTGTTTCTGAAGACAGCTCAACTTTACTTCTAAAACGAGGAATCAAATCAATGAATCACAACAAAGTCTTTGCATGTAGTGAAGCTTCTGAAATTAGCTAACGCGTGTAATTTGATTGGAACCTCTAGGTCAATGTTCAGAAACCACTATTTTACTCGCTAGGTAGATGAGCCTTCAAGACTGGATTGTCTTTGTGTTCCCTTTGACCCTTTCCTTGGAACATTGGTGACTTAAGCAGATAAAACTGCATGTACGTGTTCCCTTTAGGGAGGAACAGCATGTTCTCTGAATCAGCGTGCTGGCAAATCTACGTGTTGCCCATGAACGATTTTTCAGTAACTTTAATCTAGATTATGACTTAAGGCACTATTCAGCACTTCAGCCTATTGAATTGACTCTGAATTCATTATAAGAATCAGAATAATTCTACCAATTGAGCACTTCAGACTATTGAATTGACTCTGAACTTGTTGTAAGAAATAATTCTACCAATTGCTTCAGCTTACAGCTTACTTCTTGTTGTCCAGAACATGTTTGTAACGAGAGGTTTGTGATGTGTGCAAAATCAAAATGTGGTGATCTTAACAAGAATAATTGTGTATTACCTCAAAGGGCCGATGTGCCTCCTGAATCCTCCATAAAGCTGGATTGCAGATAAGTAAGGGACGTAGTACTGAACAACGCCATCACTGCAACTGTTCAGAGCGAGGGGTACAGCAGTGCCGTACGCGCTGCACTCCTTGAATGAGTCCCAGAGGTCGCTCAGAGTGAAGAATGGCAACGATTCTTCTGCATCTGATTGCCCCCAACCATTCATGGTTTCCTGTAATGAGGACCAAACTTCAATCGCGTGCTCCG